GCACATGATCAAACTAGTGCACTATATCGAAGTGGGAACTATGATATAATGCAACAAAAAGTACGATATGATGCGATATGAGTTCCCCAGCTAGCACTTTGCTATCTAATCGACATGGTTGTAGTTTATAAACAGGCCCATTGTTGCTAGAGTACACACAGTCAGTCCGTGAATGAAAAAGAGACGAAAGGAATTACGATGGGAAGAATGAGAGATTTATCAAGGAATTTTGTTAAGAACAGCACAAAACTATACAAAATGACAGACAATGAACAAGCATTACACACCTCACCTAGCCACCTGTCCACAGAACGTGGCCAATTTCTCCCATTCAGAAAAGAAAATTGATTTCGTGATACTGTTATGAAATTTTATTTTACACTTGATTAGATTCAAATTTAGTCAGAAAGCATGATGAAAAAAAAAGAAAAGCAATAACTTTCTTGGTCGAGATATTGCCTGACTAGCACAACAATTAATGAAAGGTGAATTATCCAGTTAAACTACTGATAAGTTATTGGAATGCGGTTCACAATTGCAGACAATTCAATACATCTTATTGTTCAGTGTACATTGCGACCAAATTATCTTGGAACCAGTTTGTAAACATCTTTCAGCAATGTTTGAAATTAGAGTTCACGAGCTTCTCCAGTTGGGCTAGTTTTATCGACCAGACTATAGTCCCGGCAATCCGCTTCAAGATCTCTCATTTTGTCGTCAACATCCTTAGCACGTGAGGGTAAATAGGTCGTCTTAGCAGCACGATCCAAGAAAGGATCTCTTGCTGTTTTTTCTTCGTGGGTATGATGAGACCAAACCAAGTCGAAACAGAGCTGTGCAGTGCTTCTCAGTTTATCACCTCACGCCCCAATTACACGAATTCATCATAAACAGTTTGTTTTACTTTGTTATTAGTAAATGGGTTCGGCTGGTATGATCAGCACATATTTAAGGTCCCCGTTTAATGTTGGGGGTGGGATCCAAGTTTTAAAGATACTCAGTTCTCTCCGATTGACCTGTGTGCTAACGCGTAGCTGACGATACGCACAAACACCCACACAGACGGGATGGCAGGGAGTGAGCTTTTCTCGGATCGAGGATGTAATCTTCCTCCAGGATCAATGTTTACACAATCGGAACTGAGTTAAACAGTATAACACGGTGCCCAATTAGTTATTACTATCCACGGTTTGGACTGATCTGTTTAATAAACGTAAACACTGTACGTATTTATCCCTGGCCAGAAAGGGGGTTCGATAAAGAGGGTTATCACAATCGTATGCACGCATACAAGAGTAAGCAAATAAAGGAAGAAAAAAATCTACACTAGTTTTTCGTGTTCAGCTCAGTTTATCTGATCTGATAATGAGCATTCCACTTGCATGACTTGCGACCAGATTCATTCCATATATATATATATATAATGTGAAATCAATAATCAAAGTGAACAGGCTCACGGTACATCCCGATTCGATTGGCCTCTCTCTCTCTCTCTCTATCCCAATCGGGGATGTGAATAGAGCAAAACGAAATAAGGGGTCTCACTTACACGAAGCGTACAAACTAGCCGATTTGGTTTTAAATCTTGAGCGAGCATCGCCTGAGACAGATCGATAATCAGATAAAGATGGCGCATCTGTGGGATAGGTGAGAGTGAGGAGACAAAAAAAAAACAAGACGACAAATTACGTGTGTGACCAAAAACCTTACCACTAACCAATTCCCAAACCACGATGATATTTCTGTCGGTATTGTATTATTGAATTGATCTGGTAATCTGAGTCACAACTTGGATACCATCTTAGTTGGTGAGTATGGATCTATGGTAGACACCATACCGGATTGATGTGATTGGTCGTGAAGGAGAGCGCCGGTTTATTTTTCTTTCAATTAAATGTTGCTCGCTATTGGTCCCAATCGCACCCGTTTAGTAACATTAACTAATAGTGTCGAGGAATTTCATTAGAAAAAAAAACAGTCGGTTATGAGAAGTGACAATGTGAAGAACCGGATGAAAACGGATAACACGGATACACGTCTGCTTTAAGCCTCACGAATTTGATGCCTGTTCACCATATTTGTCACTGTGAACCCAAAAAGGACCGGTTGAAATAAGAACAGAAATTTAAAGACCAGTTGCACTCCTCGATTCTTCCTCAGGTGCCTGATGCTGCTGTTTTTTTTCATATCAATTCAATACACTGGACCTGTTACTATTATTCGATTAAAAGACGGAACTTGTTTACTACTGAGAGAACGAAGTGTACAATGAACATCCTTGACACCCATTTCTGTTCTACGGGAGTCAGTATTACAAAAAAGAGCTAAATTAGGATAGAAAATGAACTTACGGTATCCGGGTCATGTTGTATTCTTAAGTAAAGATCTGATAAGAATTAAAGTCTTCCACTTATCATTTTATAACTACTGAGTAAAAAATGTCACTGCCAAGTGCGAATCAGTGTATCCAGTTTGTATTTGTCGACGGCGAGTGAGTGAAGTCATCTTCTACCCAAAATTAGACACTGCTGTCGGGAGATTGAGTTTCTGATGAAATAAACAGTTAGTGATTTTTAGAGCGATTAACAGGAAGCCTTCGATTTTTCACCGTCACGGGTTCAGTTTAGACTGCGGCTATTCAAACGGCCTTGTTCCGGGACTGAGGGATACTGCCAAGACAACATACACGAGAAACTTCCAATTTAGGAAGAAAGACGTATTAAAAGCACGAACTCATGATGTGGGTCTGATTGGGTCAGCAAAGCAGTTAGACCATGAAATAAGAAATTTCAAGAAATTTCTTCGTAAGGAAGACAAGGATGAAAGGCATCATATGTGATACGTTTCCGCGTGAATGTACTCTTTATGTGTGATTTAAGCTCATTGAGACGAGGCAGGGGGAAAAACCAGTTGTCTAAACAAATCTCACTTTAATGCTCCCATAAAACCAAGCATCTAAATAATCTCCGCCGAGGATATACTATTCACTGTTTTCACATGGAGAAGATATTTGATAGTAGGCAGTTCTGCTGTCGTCCGGGATCAATATCACACCTAACGAAGCGTGCCTGACGTGGTTCGCCACTCAAAGCCCCGAGGGCTTCGAAGGTAAAACGATCGATGAGTTCACTAGCTAGGTGCTACGCTAGTCACGGAACATCATCTAACACGACAGCCTCGGCTTTATCAGTCATCATACCTCAGGCATGCTTTCGCCTTCTCTGTTGCTGTATTTTATCCAGTAAACGATGTGATAACGGAGAAACACAACAATCTCATAGTAGATGCCCAGCACGATTCAGGTTACCGGCCGTTTCAGTGCTTACTGGAATTCAACCACAGCCCGCGACATGGTACCAATGTAGCAGTGAAACATGCGATCTCTTAAGCCCTCATTCCAGCATCTGAGTGATCATTTCGCTGTAAAGCTAAATGGACCCAGCGTGGCTCGTGGATGTGTATCGATCGGTTGTGATATGCGTTGACGAACCATTCCATTACACCCTACATCCAATCGATATCATGCGGACAAATAGAAAAATAGAGCCGATTTAAGATTATTTACGCTAACAACAACTCCCGGCTGGTTAGGTTTGCAGAGTTGGTTGTAATAATGCAATGGAAACCTGGTCTGTGTGTGCACAAAGTACTGTCAGTCACATTGTCACTGCGTTCGCAATAGTCAAAGCGTGATGCTTCGTGCTTATCGCATTCTTCTGTAACCTGATATACTGTTCAACGATATCAACTGTAGTTTTCTGCTGTGTTGTACCAATTGAGATGCAGCGAAATCTTATTTTTTTGGAATAAATCGTGTAACCTAGCGCTCTTGTGCTCTCTCCCTCTCTATTTAACTTTATCTCAGGAAATAACATTTTCAAATGGAATCACGTTCGTTATCGTCAGAAAGAAAATGATTACTCGATCGCGACAATTTCACGGCTCCGACCAGGTGAACTGATTAAGGCAAATCGATACTCTCGGGGGGTAGCAGAAAGTCAGTGACGACGAGGATTTAGATCACGAACGTCTCGACAATTCATTAAATGTTGGTGTATGTCAATTTACTGGAGACTACAAGTGGATGGAACACGGAAAAGTCGATTTCGAAGGGGGGATGGGATACACTGAGTTGCTCTAGTGAATCAACCAGAGCACAGGACCTTTTTGCAAACATTAACAAACGGTTTCTTTGTACTGTTGTTCCACGAGAGGACCGCATTGCAATCGAAACCATAGTAACACAGATTTGGTGAGACAGGATTCACACAGAAAACGAACGATGCGGAGAGTTAATTCACTCCAACAGAGAGAAGGACGATATTGCGAATCGCATCGACAAACAAGTTCACGCATGTTCACTAATGCTCTCAGCTTAACAGTGGCGTCTACATGACAAAAATAAAATGAGTACTATGACCTCGTATGTTGCAAGAAGGGTGTGAAAGCGAATAACGGTATCGAGAGCAGAGAAATTGTCTGGTAGATAATTGAAAACACGACACACTCACCATTCCCAGCCGAACGAAACCCTCTGTACCGGCAGCCAAACGGCGACGCTTCTTTCGGATTTGAGCATGAGCGTCATGGACTAGTTGTTCCAATGTGGTGATCAGTCGACCCGATTCATCTTCGCGAATCGCGGTCCTGATATGTTGAGAGAGAGAGAGAGCAATAAGATG